CAGGGCCAGTGAGGGGTATAAGAATGAGTAGACAATCAGATAATTAATTGGCCCCATCAACACTGCTTTTTAAAAATAAATAAGTTACATTGTCAATTGTGAGTTGATTCCTTTCTCTGTTGAAGTGCTGTCTGCTTTCTTCTTATAATGGCCTTGTTTTAATCAATTTTTTGTTGCTGTATGTCATTTGAGAGCACTTTCTGGGACAAAGTGTTATTTGATGTGTAGCAGCTGTGGGCAGAACTTCAAACAACAGGGAGACACTGACTGAATCTCATCAGTCATGCACATTTTCTCCCTAATAAAGTCATGGGGCACACACTGTTCAATGAAAAATTAAACGTGGGTTGATCTCACAGCGGAACAAATTTACTTAGTGGGCAGTGGACCTGATGGATGGCTGTGTGATCTTGGAATGGAATTAAATCCTCGGATTAGTTGTACGTTCTTTCCTCTCCTAATTCATTTCCCCCACCCCTCAGCCCACCTTCAGTGGCCAAGCTTGTTGCCACCTAACTCCAGATCTCAGGAACTCTGTCCCCAAATCTCTTTGCCTTGCTCCTTCTCTCCCTGCTTTCAAAACTCTATTAAAAATGTATGTCTTTGACTACATCTTTTATCAACACTCACATTTTCGCTTCTTTTTCCTGCTTAAATGTCTTATAAGATGTTCTTTGAGATATTCATTCAATGTGAAAGGAAATACAGTATATAAGAAAGGAGAAGGAAGATTCTCCCAGTGTCCTGGCCAACTATCCCCCAAATAAAATTGGTCACTGTCTCCATAGCTCTTTGGGGGACATTGCTGTGCACAAATTGGCTGCTTCGTTCATCTACAAAATAATGATAATAATCCTTACATTTGATATAACGCTTTATCATGTCTTCGAGACGTCCCAAAGTACTTCACAGAATATACTGTAAAGTGAATTGACTGTATATTTTGTGGGCGAAACACAGCTGCCAAATGCGCAAGCTGTGTCCCACAAATAGTCGTGGATTGAAGTGACCAATTCATTACCATTATTTGACGGAATTATTACCCCCGGAAAAGTGATCCGCCAATTGACCAACAACTGGGTTCCTACTTACTCCTAGGTAAACAAGCGTGTGGAGAAAGGAAACTTGCCCAACATTTTGCCCTGCTGGGAATCGAACCCAGGTCTCTCACTTGCGAGGTGAGTGCTCTAACCACTGTGCTACACAGTGAAATAAACAAAAAACCCAGTCAACACACTTTATATTATATCCTGTCAGCGTTTTGAGATGTCCTCCTGATGTGAAAGGTGCTACCAAATGTAACAACATAAGAAATGCTAGACGAAAGAAGACCATGGTCCATCTACTTTGCCTTCCACCTTCCTGGTGGTCCCAGGTACATATGGTCCAAACTACCTATGTACTAAATCCCATAATGTTATTTCCTAAAAGAAAACAAATCTGTCCTTGAAAGTATTATTATAATAATAAAATAAATTGCTGTTAATTGTTATGAAGGATATGTCCCATCATTTTAAAAATGGATGGAACTCTTCCCATTTCAGACTCTCTTCGGGCAGAAAATAAATCAATGGTGGGTCATTGAATGGTTAGAAGCAGGATGAAGCCCGATCCTAACCTGATCCACTCTCACTGGGAGGCAGTAGAAAAGGGCACATGGCAAGTTTGGCTCAGCATGTAGTACTCTCCCCTCTGGGCAGAAAGCTATGGGTTCAAGTCCCGTTCTGGGCTTGGAGCTCAAAGTGGAATGCAGTGCTGGAGGAATGCTGCTTTTACGAGTTGCAGATTAGGGTTTTGGTGAGACATTAAATAGACATCCCATCTGCCTGTTCAAGTGGATGTTAAAGATCTCATGACCTATTTAAAAAGAGAAGGGAATTTCTCCTGGTATGCTGGAGACAAACCTTCTATCAATTGGACATTTTGTTTAAGACTGCTGCATTTCCTACTGTCATTACTCTTGAGTCCAATGAATGCCAACTAATTCTCTATTGCTTCATGCTGGCCCTCTAATCTCCAGTACTGTTTTCAAGCAAATAGATATCCACCTCTTTTAGGAGTTAATCACATGATCTTCAACTATTTATGTTGAAAGGCTGATTCACATGTGGGGAAAACATTTCCTTCTAGTCTCACTTGAGGCTTGTTACTTTTAATCTTGTGTCCTTGAGTTCTGCATTCACAGTCTTTTTAAGTCAAATCGCCTCCTCTCATCCACATCATCATCTTAAAGTCCTGGCTTACATTTCTACCCCTTCCTCCACCTCCCCCTTTAAGCTTCCTTTTTCAATGAAAACAATCTCAGATTGGGTCCTTGAAATTGGAGCGGGTGCCAGTTATAAGCGTTAACACCCCCTCAAGTTCAGAACACTAAAAGGTAATTGCCCAAATATTAATGACTTGGGTTACAAGTTATACAAATTGTGTATTATAAGCAAGTTACTCACATACTGCCACCTATGGGTCTCCTCAGAAAGGACTTCATAAAATCTCACTTAAACCAGGCGTCCGGATCAATGCTATTTTGGAACAAGCTGATGCAGCTCTGTGCCAAGCCTTGTACTCTGCTTCTCCTGCCTGGGAAGTGTTGATGCCTGGGATCTTGTCCTTTGTGTGGACATACAAGCACAGTGTTAGCCATGCTCTGCTGAAACAAGGTTGTTGGAGTAAACATTAGGTGGACGATCAAAGGTCCTGGGAATGGTCATTGACACATGTTCTCCCGACATCTCAGGGTCTCGTTTCTTTCCAAGTTGAATTTTCAACCCATTGAATTGCCCTCTTTAAACAGCTCCTGGTGCTGGATCTCCCTCTTTATCACCTATTATCTCACCCCATCAATTATGTCTGTACATTGCTCAACAACTAACCCCACGACCTCACATACCTAAATCTATGTGAGCTATCTCTGACCACTTTATGACCCTCAAGATCTTCCCATATACTATGTCTCTTATACCTTGACATCATTTAAAATAATGTCTGATTTAAGCAAGGCTAACAAGACTGTAAGTTGATGTTTCAGCTCCAGGGCCACGTTTACTCTGTTTACTCTGTTTACACTGCTCTGGGGTTTGCCTCGAGTCCAGTGAATGCTAGCTAATTCTCTATTGCTTCATGCTGGCACTCTCGTCTCTGAGTCAGAAGTTTGTGGATTCAAGTCCCACTTGAATTTACGCAGTCGAAGAATAATAATAATAATAATCCTTGCATTTGATATAGCGCTTTTCATGTCTTCTAGACGTCCCAAAGCACTTCACAGAACACACTGTAAAGTGAATTGACTGTATATTTGTGGACGAAACGCGGCAGCCAATTGCAGACAGCAGTGTCCCCCAAACAGTCGTAGATTGAAAATGACCAATTTATTATTGTTTTTTTTTGGAGGGATTATTATTAGGCGTGTAGAGTAAGGAAACTTGCCCAAGGTTTCGCCCTGCCTGGAATTGAACTCAGGTCTCTCACTTGCAAAGCGAGTGCTTTAACCACTGAGCTACAGGACTCCACGAAGAAGGGTGGTCAAACCTTTTGGCTGCCATTGGCTGGATTCGCTATTTGAGAAAAGTCCACGGGCCGCATGGACCATATTTTGTGTTTTGCTTCCAGAAATACGACATTTACACAGCTCCTTTTTCATGCCGGAAGGACATCTTGACACTATCGGCTGGGCACCTGAGCTGGGTGAGGGAGCTGAGGGAGATGGGTTGGGGATGGGAAAAGATGACCAAAGGCATGGTCAAAGAGTTAAGTCTTGATGTGCCTTGAAAGAAGGAAGGGAGCAAATCGGAAGGACTCTGGGAATGGAACTCCAGAGAGTGGGGGGTAAATGGCGATGGTAGGGCAGATAGGGTGCAGAGACATGAAGCAAGCTGGTGTTTTCTCAGGAAAGGGAATGGATAGGTCGGGAGATTGCCAAGATTGGGAGGGAGGTGGATTGAAGGACTTAGAGGAGTTTCTCACTGGGGAAAGAGGGAGCTGTCTGTGAGGAAATTGCATAGCACATCACTTGGTGTCAGTCCTCGATCCCACCCGGGGCGGCCGAGAGAAGCTCTAATTGTCCTGACAGTGAACCACAAAATGTTGCTATCAATTCTCCTCTCTCTGCTCTTTTTGTTTCTCTCTCTCCCCTGCTCCCTCATTCTCTCTCTCCCTCAATCACACTCTCTCTATCCCCTCCTCTCATGCATTCTCTTACACACTCTCTCTCCTCTCACACATTCTCTCTCAATTATTCTCTCTCACTCCCCTTCTCACATCCTCTCACACACTCTCTTCCCTCTCACACTCCACCTCCCCCTCTCAATCACCCTCTGCCTCCTCTCCTCTCTCTCACACTCTCTCTTTCTGAATTACTCTCTCTCACTCCCCCTCTCTCCCACACACAATCTCTATATCTCCTCTCAAACTCTTTCTCAATCACCTTCTCCCAATCACCCTCTGTTTGTTTCTTTCTCTCCCCCCCCTCTCTCACATTTACACCCCCTCATACTCTCTCTCGCATTCTCTCCCCCTTTCACACTGTGCTCATCTCAATCACTCTCTGCTCTCTCTCTTTCACTTACTCTCTCACTCCCCAGTACAAGTAAATGCAAGCATTAGTATTATTATTAATTTCAGCAATACCACCCAAAGTGCTCAGAGGTATCCCTACTGCCTCTCAACCAGTTCCCGAGGCATAACCAATAAGGGAATGGAAGAGTTTGTGCCTCTGTCCCTCTCACGGTAAGATTGCCCACTCCCAAATTTACAGACAGAAACTCTCAGCAGCTGGAGCTGGAGACTGAAGCACAGCGAGTGGTATCCAAGTGGGTTCATGCCTCCAGGCGAGCCAATGGAATAAGCAACTGGTGCCTGCAGGACTGTAATAGGAATAACACCTTGGCTGTAAACCATCGCATTTATTTGCATTTTTGTTATTAAAAAAAGTCAATCTATATTTAACTGTACCAGAAGGTAAGGTTTAATTTGCAGATGACTAATGCCTGCTATTTTCATTGCAGGTCGCACATCTGGTTCATAGTTTACCAAAATGAATAGACTCCTCTGTGTGCCACTATTGGCACTCGTTGGCCTATTTCTTTCAAATAGTCTCACTCAAGCACAATCAGGTAAGGACCGGGGAGATCCAGTCATTTTTTTCAGCTGGTTGTCTCTCCCTGATGATATTGTGTCAGTCGGTTATCAAATTCAATTCCGTCGGTGTGAGTAACTTTGTCTTTCTGCTTTCAGAATTTTTCGCGGTAAGTTTGTTTTTAGTGTAAAAGTTCTTCCTTTCTCGGGGATGGTCATCAGCAGGAGGAAGGAGACTTCAAGATATTCATGTGTTTTAACAGTCTGAAGTGCCCAAGTAGATGTTCAGATCCTTTTTGCCTTTTCAGACTTGAATAAATGTTAGAGTATTAATAGGGTTATACAGTTGTGCATGAGGGAGATTGATTCCAGAATCCTCGGATTATAGGATAAATCCTGTAGCCTGCACCTACCCAACCACCCACACTCTCTCACACACACACACGTTGTATTGAATCACGGTCAACTTCACAGTTGTGGAGGGAGGGGGTTGACCCAAGTGAAGGCTTTGTGCTTTCTTATTGGAAGGAGGGAGGAATGGAAGCCATCCCAATCTGCTTGGCACACCTCCAGGACAGTTGCTTTCAGGAATGGCAGTGGGAGGGTGAGAACCAGGTAAGGTCACTGAATGGGGGAAGAAACCGAAGAGAAAACCAGAAGAGAGTAGCACCAAACAAAAGGCAGAGAAATGGTTGACAAATGTGCTGTACAAGAAATGGAGAGGAGAATGCGGGCATACATTTCAGGCAGTGCTAAACGGCTTTTTTTTCTTAAAGATGACAGAACAGCCACTTCTGCTGATATAGTCTTTCTAGTGGATGCATCTCGGAGCATCGGACAGGAAAATTTCCCATACGTGCGAGAGTTTCTGTTCAGGGTTATAAAGGCTTTTGATATCGGAGAGGAGACAGTTCGTTTCGGGCTGGTGCAGTATGGCGACAGGCCGCAAACTGAGTTCCGATTAAACACATATGTCACGAAGCAAGACATCCTGTTTCATGTCTGGAACATGTCATTTAAGGGGGGAGGTACAAAAACCGGACTGGGACTAGAGTATGTGTCCAAGGATCAACTGAGTGAGGCTGCCGGGAGCCGGGCTGGACAAGGCGTCCCGCAGATTGTGGTCGTGCTGACAGACGGACACTCTCAGGATGACGTAGGCCCGCCCGCTGCCTCTCTAAAATCTGCCGATGTCATGGTTTTTGCCATTGGAGTTCGACAGGCGGTTGAGTGGGAATTAAAGGAGATCGCGAGCGCTCCTCACTGGAGGTTCATTTACCGCCTCAACGATTTCTCCATGCTTGAGAGCATTGTAAGCGACATAGTGCCAAGCCTGCACTCGGCTGCTGTGCACCCACTATCCGAAGGGATAATAAAAGATGTCACAGGTAAACAGTAAGCTGGTCTGCTGCTGCTCCTCACCCTTCATCTCCTCAACTTACATCAGAGCGAAGTGCTAAGGAACAAACAATACGGCTTTGATATGTACCAAAGTCCTCTGTGTACTTTCCCCCCACTGGCTCCATTGGTTTTGTGTGGAGCTGAGCCATACAAACCAGAGCTTTGATTTCCTCCGGGCTGTGCTGGATTTACTGGTCTCAGCTAGAGGTGTCAGTAGGGGTCTTGCAATTGGCCTCTCAGCGTCCCTTGGGTTGAGAAGGGGCAATTTTTTCAAAACAAAATCAGCCAGTGGTTTCCCCCTCCACCCCTTCCAGCAGTGCTCTGCTGGAAAGTACGTGTGAGAGGACAGAGGGTGAAGGCAGGATTGGCATCGACTGTGGAGACAAATACTCTGCCCACGCACATTCTCTGATCCCACACGTGACAAACGGCACGTTGGGCCTGTGTTGGTACTGGAGGGTGCCCAGCGCATGGAACCAACCCAAGCAAGCAAACGCTTTCAGGAAATGGGGCGACAAAGAAAATTGGAAAGGGGTTGGGAGGGTTATATAAAAGATCGACCTGAATTGGATGTAACCAAGGGATAGAGTGGCCACTTTCAACCTTACATTCTACTAACCTCATTCCCCTCACATTCTGTGTTTTTTAATACAAATTTTTTAATATTAAAATCCATTCTGCGTTGCCATCAGCTCGGCTACACATCAATGACACTTCATGACTAAAAATGCACTGATGGATCAATGGAGCGGTTGCCACACTCCGCAACTGTAAACTGCAATTGGTTGACTGCTTTTCTGATAAAAGTGACCGGTTGCATAAATAATTGGGAGAAATGCGCTTTGAAGCTCAGTGTTGAACTGAACCACGCAGACCAGGAAGGTGCCAGCTTTGAATCCCGGTGCGTTCAGAGTTAGTCGAGCTAACTCGGGGTGGAGTAAAGCAACACTTAAAAGAAACTGGTTGCGAATCCATTTGCAGGTTTTATGAAGGGCATTTTACTAGCCATGCATGAGGGGCATCACCAGGTGCAACAAATATCTGAGACTAGCTAACAGAACCAGCCTCCATTCAGTTACCCAGTTGTGACATGAGGGTGGGGTGTTGAAATCAGTAGAAGCCAGGTACTTTCAAATAGAAAATTGGTAGCCAAATACCCATGTAGGCTGTCACGAAAGCTTTTTAATGTCAGAATTTCTATTTGTAATGGAATGGGGGTAATAATTCCTTCAATTTTTTTTCAAAATTGAGATGTCTTGAAGACGTGATAAGGTGCTATATCAAATGCAAGATTATTATTATTATGAAGTGCACCTCAGGGCTGAAGTATAATTAGTCCTAGGTTAGGGAGTGGGGAATCAGCCAGAGGTATCTTGGCCAAGATTCCCCTCATAATCAGATAGCCAGCTGCTGTTTACAGGCAAATGCTTGAAAAATAACTTGGGCAAGGTACTGGACTTGTCTGTAGAAAATGCCTTCCAGTCAAAAGGACAAGGCTTCAGGACAGGAGAAGAGGGGAGTGAATGGTCAAAGATGAAGACTGCCCAACTTTGCAAACCAGCCACACCATTAAGATAGAGCCAAAGATTGGCCTTGAGCAGGAAAAAGGGAAGGCATAGAGAGAAAAATGACACCTCCAGGCAGCTAACTCGAAATTGCCACCAGCTGACGCCCCCCCACCCCCGGATCTCCAGTTCTCTGAGGGTGGGCCTAGGGTAAGAAGGGGGCAATGTGTCTGAAGGGGAGAATGTACATTTATAAAAACTGGAGAAATTTTATTTTTATGATTGAAGAAAAAGATGATGGAGGGGATAGAAGAAAAACAGAGACATTGCTGAGAAATTACCAATTACTGTTTAATTATTCTTGATCTAAAATTCAACTCAACATATAGATGACAAGAGGTTTGGAGTATAACCGGTCACTGGGAAGCCCTTGCTTGACCCATCCACTTTATATGTTGTTGCAATTAACACACCAAAGCTTTGCTTCCACCTCCATTCAACTGTGTGTGCACCACACCCTCTTGCACACCTGCTTGTATTGAATGTCATCGGCTGTTACACACCGCACAATGTTAATTAAAGATTGTTTAACTTATTCTGCATTCTTTGGAACAAAAAAAAGAGTTGTTGTTTGACAGATGAAGGTTACGTTGATATATAAAATGGTGGTTCCCTTATTTGTGAAGATGTGAACCCCAAGAGACAGTATCCCTGGTTATGAACCCAGCATTGTCCCCATTGGTGCCTGCCATTGACTCAAGTGTGTTCTCGCTAAATTTCTCTGAGTGCTTTCTGCTTTTGTAGGCAAACGTTACAAGCTAGTGCTAACGATCTGTCCCAATTCAGTGGTCACAGCCCAACTTTCTGGGCTGTGACCATTGCCTCACTCAACACAATACACACTTAGGGGAGGGGGCGGGGGGATGAAAGTATCTGTGACAGTGTTAAAGCGTGAACAATCACTTCATTCCACAGTGATTACTGTGATGTGTTATGAGATGCTTCAAAGCAATAGGTGTTATAAAAATGCAAGTTATTGTTAATTTAATTTAGTTTGATGCAACTCAGATCAATGGGCCCACAGCACAGGACTGCTTGTAATTTTGCACAGGTTGGTAGAAAATTAGAAAATCCACATCCAGAAAGGCCATAGGGTTACTGGCGAGAGAAATGGAAACATTTCACATTGGTATAATATAATAATTCTAACAGTGCAATAATTTAATATTAATAAATCATAATACTTATAAATGATTATTATTAATTGCATTTGATATAGTGTCCTTTTACATTGAAACTTCTCAAAGCACTTCACATGGGTTTCTGTTGAGCGTAGTGACTGTGCATTTGTAGGCAATTTGCACACAGCAATGTCCCACAAACAGCTTTGAAGTGAATGACAAACTTTATCTGGGAGAAACCTCTGTTGTTGAATAATGCCATGGGATTTTTAATATCCACTTGAACAGACAGATAGTTTTACATTTCATTCAAAGGACAGCACTTCCAACAATGCAATACTACCCCAGCACCACACAGACTAGACTATGAGTTCTTTTTTCATTAAATTGGGAGCCTTTCAGAGAGAGTGTTTGACCCTGAATTGAACCTATGCTGTACATGACTTGCAGTATCCACTGGAATAGAGCAGACCCAACTGTCCAATGTGTTCCTTGATCCAGCACAGATGTGCTTCCTGCTGAGGAGCACAGTCTTTCGCCTCCACTAAATTGAACAAATTCAACCCAGGATGGCTCGAGAATCCTAGTGGTGTTGTGTCTGTAAGGTTTCACAGGATTATGAATGTATTTAAAGACCCCCTTGATGGGACTGACCATCGTTAAATCACATGACGGAAAGAAGGAATTTCTTTAAAAGGAAGAATATTAACAACAACAGAAAATTGCATTTTATATTGCATCTTTCATGTCAGGAGGACGTGCTAAGTTGCTGGACAGTGCAGGGTTTGCACCTAAGTTGGGGCTTGGAGTCAAGAGGGGTGGAAGGCAAAGGCGGTGGAGCTGGGAGAGTGATCGAAGGCACAGTCAAAGAGGAGGGTCTTGAGATATTAATATTAATTAATTGATTATTTCCCCAGTTATCTCTTGAAGATGCTGAGCCATTCTGGTCTG